GTTTATGGTCTAAAGATGACTTTAACATTGCAGAGTCAGTATGAATGTGAATTACTCACCCTTTTCCCTGTCTAACTCATCAGAAGGCTTGACTGGGGCTGAAGGATCCACTTTCAAGCTCACTCATACAGTTTTTGGCAGGTCTCAGTTTCTTGCTAGCTGTTGACTGGAGACTTCAGTTCCTTGTAACATGGGCCTCTCATAGGAGAGAGGGAGAGAGAGAGAGAGAGAGAGAGAGAGAGAGAGAGAGAGAGAGAGAGAGAATGAGCATGAGATCTCAAGACTGAAGTCACTGCCTTTTTATAACCTCCTCTTAGAAGTAGCAAAGCATTACTTCTGCTGATTGCTGTTGTATATTGCTCCTGGTATAATGTGGGAGGCAGGGGTCAGGGGGTGCTATCGTGAAAGCTAGATATCACACTGTGAATCTTTAGCCATCTAACTTCTTCGAGCCTCACCTTCCCTTCTGTTTAATGGGAACAAAATTACTGTCAAGAGATGTTGACTTCATAGGGTTTTACTGAGGATCTAGTGAAATGATAGATGAAAAATCCTTTGTAAACTATAAATTGCATTGGCTGAAAAATTTGATGTCATAGATCTGGAGGTGAGATCTGAAAGTCAGAGAGGGAAGAATTACAATCTTACAAAGGGAGGAACATGAGTTCTCTTGGGTCACAAACCCTTTCCTCCACCACACACCTCTAAGCTCTCCTAGGGTTTGGCTGATTGAACCAAGTTGTGAGCTATGGAGTTTAGAGCTAGTGTTTATTTACTTTTTTTTTTTTTTTTTTTTTTTTTTTTTTTTTTGTATAATAAGATTTTTGTTTCTAAGAAAAATAACTTAAAAAAAAAGTTTCAATACAAGGTTTGAAAAGCTTGGGGACATTAACTTGTTCTCACCATACAATTTGTTAATTGGCCAACTGTCCATATATTAAAATAATATGGATCCAATTTTACTGAAATGATACATAGCTTGGAAAACACTATTTTAGGTTTCATTGAATTCAAGGACATTGAACAGTGTCATCTAATAAAAATTGCCTTGTGTCCTGAGATCACACAATGTATTGAGGTCAGCATCAAGGACCATCTACAGGCAAAATGTTCCTGTCTGCACAGTGGCTTGTCTATTTCTCATTTGCACATGTGGAGTCTACCTCTTGACAGCTGTTGCTACGCAAATAGGATTTATAATGGAGATGAGAAGCCAATGCCGAGAGTGTTATGTTTGAGGTCCTCTGTTGAGCCTGCAACTGGCCTGCACACATCCCTCTGTGTTACAGCAGATGAACTCCATCTACTCCCTGCATGAACAGATACACAGTAGAAGGACCCCATACCCTCCCTGCAGGGCCAGATGTACTATAGCCCTATGTAGAACAATGGTGGAGTTTGGCCGAGTTGAGACATACATGCTGAAGCAGAATAAAGGGGTACATATTGAATCTGAAACAGGGAAAGACATTCCCATACGAGGGGGTAAGTCCAGTGCAGTCTGTGAGGACTCCCTTTCTCTTTGTAAGAAAGTGTTTTATGCCCAAGTCCAGTTCTTGCATAGCCCAGAGGAAGCTGAAATGCTGTGCACATAAGACTTCTTTTCCCAACAACTTTATTTTCTCAGACCAGCTTCCTCAACGCAGGACACCATAGGTATGGGAAACCCTGGGCTCAGATCCTTACAGCAGAAAATGAGGACTCTTTCCCAAGTTCATTTGAAAAGCACAGGACAGTGATTGATCTTGCTCGGTATAAACGTCCACCTATAGTCCCTGTCCTTTAAAGAAGGCAGTCTCATACTGGTGGCTTGGCCCTAGTCTCTTTTTGTTTTTTTGAGACAAGGTATAGCTGTGTCACCCAGACCACAGTGCATTGGCATGATCATAGCTCACTCCAGCCTCATCCTACCAGGCTTAAATGATCCTCCTGCATCAGCATCCCTAGTAGCTTGGACTGCAGGAGCGTGCCACCACACCCAACTAATTTTTTAATTTTAGTGGAGATAAAGTCTTGCTATGTTGCCCAGCATGGTCCTGAAATCCTGAACTCAAGTGATTCTCCTGCTTCAGCCTCCCACAGTGCTGAGAGCCCACCTGCCTGATAATCCTAGTATCTTGTAGAAGTGACTCATCCTATTCCCATGAGAGAGTAGAGGAAGATAAATATGAATGAAGAGTTACATCAAAAGTGGATCATAGAGGTCCATGAATTGCAGGTAAACATGTTAGATTTTTCAGGAGACACAGAAACATTTGAGATATTTGACCAGGAAAGTGACATAGTCAGAGTTGAGTTAAGGAAGATTAGTTTGATAGAAATGTGTTAAGACTGAACAGAAAGTAGAAGGGATGGGTAATGGTGAAGTAGGTAATTTTGCTAAAATATCCATTCTGTTCAAACAACATAAGTAGCTGGAAAATCTAAAAATCATTTTCTTTTATGTGTCAAAGAGTTAAGAGTGTATTCAGGAACTATGGGCTAAGATCTTGGTGGAGAAGAGAAACTAGAGAGATGAACTCATCATCCAAGACTACTTTGTTCTTGAGGGCATTTACTGAACTTGAAAAGATATATTCTGTGAGTTATTTTTCCTTTTGGCTCTCAGCTCCATTTCATCTCTTTGCTTTGTATCTCAGGGCCAACAAGCCTGAAAACTACTTTTCCCAGACTTTCTTGCCAGCTGAGTTCCAGTTAGATTCCAGCAAAGGGAAACACTAGAGGAAGAAAATGAGAATATAACAATGAACCCACATTGAGAAAGTGACAGTCTGTCCTGACATTCAGCAGGCTAGGGCAACAGCCACAGATAAATCCTTTGATGGGTCCTGGATTCTTAATGTTTTTCTCTCTAGTTCCAGAAAACTGCCAAAGTGGCAAGTTAATGGGAAACAATATTACTCTAAGGCCATGCTGCAGTTGTAAAGTATCATAATGTCTCCTTTAATGATGAATGCTTCCTTACTCATTGGAAAATACCTTTTCCTAAAATAATTTGTGGTTTGAAATTATATCTGTAAGAATGAAACACATCTCACTTTTGCCTGAAGGATTGGAGCCTCTTTGATGTAGAGAAGCAAACTTGATATCCAATCTGTATGCTGAGTTTTAGAGACAACATTCCACATATATCTTAACTTTTTCATTTCTAAGGAGCTAGGACTGTGATCCACTTTGCAGTCCAGGTATGATATTGACTCTTTACACACTGACTTGTTTTGCTTTGAACCTATTCAAACACTGCTTCACTTAAATTTCATCTAAACTCTGTGCTTCCCCCCAATTCTATAACAACACTGTCTTTCCTGGTGTTTGGTGAGATGCTCCATGCCTCCTCTGGTGTTTCCCTTGTTGCAACAGCCTAATCAATCTGTCTTTGGCGAACTATAATGTGGCCTCGGTGGTCTCAGGTTGATTAGATGAGGAAAGAAAGAAGCCATTTTTCCACTTACGACAGTGTCTTATTGTAGGCTCCAACAACTTTGGTGTTGGTTTCTGCAGCATTGATGGGGTTAACTCCTGAGCTTCTGATGAGAAGTCGTTTTCAATAGCAGTACCCGGAGCAACGGCAATCATGTGGGTTGGTTGGCTGCAACCCGGGGGATAAGGTGGCTTCTTAATTTCTGGGTGATATTTCCTTTCCCTTTCACTTCTTCAGTTCTTCCAACATTTCTACAACCAATTGTCTGATTATAAACAAGTAAATCCTTCTCTGCTAGAAATAGAGGGTGGTTTCATTTTTCTCAACGGTCACTAGTTGATACAGTATCTGAGGTTCTGAGCTGCACTTTGGCAGCTTTCTGGGACTAGAGAGAAAAACAATAAGAATTTAAACCTGGCCGAGAGAGGTGGCTCACGCCTGTAATCCCAGCACTTTGGGAGACTGAAGTGGGCGGATCACAAGGTCAAGAGATCGAGACCATCCTAGCCAACATGGTGAAATCTTGTCTTTACTAAAAATAGAAAAATTAGCTGGGTGTGGTAGCATGTGCCTGTAGTCTCAGCTACTCAGAAGGCTGAGGCAGGAGAATTGCCTGAGCCCAGGAGGTGGAGGTTGCATAGCACCACTGCACTCCAGCCTGGTGACTGAGCAAGACTTTGTCTCAAAAAAACAAAACAAAACAAAACAAAAGAATCTGAACCCGTCAAGGATTTCACCCTGGTAAGTAGGAGTTAATCAGGAATAAAACAGCTCCCACAACTGAGCTTCCAGTCCTCTGGGTAGACCACAAAACCCCAAGCCTTGAAATTGGATTAAGATGGTCCTGGTCTACTTAAGCCCTCTAGGCTTCTTAAATTAATCAGTTTTGGAAAATTCTCTATCCTATATTCTCAAATATTGCTTTTGCTTTTCTTTTGGGAATAACAATTAATTGCATGTTGCATATTCTTATTGCATATTCTTTGTCTCTTACCTACTTCTCTGCGTTTTCCATCCTTATGTCTGGTGTCCGTACTTCATTTTGATAGATTGTTTTAACCTAATTTTTAGTTTAATAATTCTGCTGTATCTAATTTGGGATTAAAGCCATCCCTTGAATTCTTAACTTTAGTTATTGCCCTTTTCCTCAATTCTAGAACTCCTAGCTTTTTTTTCAAGTCTGTTGCCACTTTTTATAGTTGCTAGTTCTTTGCTTTTGAATTAAAAAAAACCTGGCTCTATTGACATTTTTAATTTCCATGCTTTTAGTAATATGATTAAAATACATAAATCAAAAATTGGTAGAACTACAAAGAGAAATATACAAATCTATAATTATAAGGGGATATGATAAGATGCCTCTCTGAGTAATTGATAGAAATAGCAGACAAGAATTATTAATAATGAGGACAATTTAAACAGCATGACTAACAAAACTACTTAATGTCCACATGTAGAGGTCTGCACTCAACAACAGTAGAATGAATATTATTTTTCAAGCTCACAGGGAGTATGAAGATGCTGTTTCTTCCAAATGCATCTGTAGATTCAGTGCAATCCCAGTCAAACTACCAGGCAGATTCTTTTGTAGTTCTTAAGTGATGAGTGAGTTTTCACCTCATGTGTGAGACGTGCCTCCCTCAAACCTTGTTACAATGTAGGCACATTACCCATCTGACATGAAAATAAAACAGAACAAAATACCAGTCAGATATTTTCCAGGACCTGACAAACTTATTCTAAAATTAACCTAAAAATAGTAATATTAAAAGACTGAGAATAGTTAAGACATCCTTGAAAAAAAAAAGGATACTAAAATTTAAGACAGAATAATTAAGACAACTTTGAAGAAAAAAAAGAAAACTTGAGAAAACTTGGCCTACGCACTATCAAGACTTGTTAATTTATAATGATTAAGATAGTGTGATATTGGCAAGAAGACTGTAAAATAGACCAATGGAAGAGAAGATAGGACCCAGATATTTATTTATATATGTGTATCAGTATGTAAGTATATATACCTATTGTGAAAAAGCTATATTTAAAAAAAATAATGTCAGGACAATTTGATATCCATAAAGGAAAAAAATGAAATAGGACCCTTTTCTCACACTATATATAAAAGATAATTCTAAGCAGTCATAGATCTAAATGTGAATGGCAAAGTGGTAAAGCTTTTAGAAGGTAATACAGGTGAACACCTTCAAGACTTCAGGGTGTGGAAAAACAAGACTCAGAAAGCTCTAACTGTAAAATAAAGGACTGATGTATTTGTTTTAAAGACAATATTAACTACTTTTATTTATATATTTTAGTAATTGATTTTTATTAATATTTTAATTACAATTATATATATTTATGGTATATAATGTGATGTTTTGATATATGTATACAAAGAGGAATTACTAAATCAATCTAACTAGAATATCACCTGTTTTTGTGGTGAGACATTTGGAATTTACTGTCTTAGGTTTTTTGAAATATGTAATATGTTGTTATTAACTATAGTCACCCTGCCATGCAATAGACCTCAAAAATTGATTCTTCCTGTTTAACTGAAACTTTGTACTCTTTGACCAATATCTCCCTATTCTCTCCTTACTTCCCTGCACCCCCAAGTCTCCACTAAACATCATTCTATTCTACACTTCTGTGAATTTGGTTTTTTTAGATCCCATGTAAATTAGATTATACAGTGTCTGTCTTTCTGTACCTACCTTATTTCACTTAACATAACGTCCTCCAGGTTCATCCATGTTGTTGAAAATAACAGGATTTCCTTCTTTATAGGGTTGAGTATCAGTCCACTAGGTATATATACCACATTTTCTTTATCTATTCATCTGTTGATAAACACTTAGGTTGATTGCTTATCTTGACTATTGTAAATAATGCTGCAATGGACATGGGAGTACAGAGATCCTTTAGATATTGATTTAAGTTACTTTGGATATATACCCAGAAGTGGGATGGCTAGATCATTTGGTTGTTCTATTTTAAGCTTTTTGAGGAACTTCCATATCATTTTAAAGAGTGGCTATACTAATTTATATTTCCACCAACAGGGTACAAGCGTTTCCTTTTCTTCACATCCTTGCCAACATATATCTTTCCTCAGTTTGGTAATAGCCATTCTAACAGGTATGAGGTAGTATCTCATCATGGTCTTAAATTGTATTTCTCTGATGATTAGTGATGTTGAGCATTTTTTCATGAACCTGTTGGCCATTTGTATATCTTCTTTTGAGAACTGTCTATTCAGATCCTTTGCCCATTTTAAAAATTGGGTAATTAGTTTTCTTGCTGTGGAATTAAGTTCTTTATGTATTTTGGCTATTAACCTCTTATCAGGTGCATGACTTGGAAATATTTTCTCCCATTCTGTGGACTGTCTCTTCACTCTGTTAATTGTTTCATTTGCTATGCAGTGGCTTTTTAGTTTGATACTATCCCATTTGTCCAATTTTGCTTTTGTTGCCTGTGTTTTCAGTGTTTTCTATATACATATAAATCACTGCCCAGGCCAATGTGGAGCATGTTTTCTTCTAGCAGTTTTACAAGCTCAACTCTTATATTTGAGTCTTTAGTCTATTTTGAGTTGATTTGTCCACATGGTATAAGAAAAGTGTCTAATTTCACTCTTCTGTATTTGGATACCCATTTTTCCCAGTACCACTTATTGAAGAGACTATCTTTTTTCCATTGTATATTCTTGAAACCTATGTCAAAAATCAATTGTCCATAAATGCATGAGTTTATTAATTGGCCATAAGTGCATGGATTAAAATCCTCTCTAAAGGATTAATATATTGGATTACATTAAAATTAAGATCTTTTTCTTACCAAAATACAAATAATGAGAGGCAAACAGCAAACTACAGGATGGGAAAATATGTTTGTAACATATTTTTATTTGTTATGTAACAAACAAAAGGTTTGTATCTAGAAGATATTTTAAAACTTCTTCAAATTAATAGTAAAAATTCATATTGTCTAATAGAAAAATGGAAAATGACTTAAATAAGCATATTACAAATAGAATATCTAAATGACCAAGTAATGTATGAAAAGGCATATATGTGTCTTATTACTCAGGGAAATGCAAATTGGAACTTTGATAACATTATGTATTCATCAGATTGGCTAAAATGAAAAACTTCAACAATTCCAGGTGCTAGAAAGGATGCTCAAAGACAGGAACTGCCATTTGTTGCTGATAAAAGAGTAAATTGGTATGCTGGTTTTGGAAAACAGTCTGATACTTTGCAGGTGAGTTGAAGATGTTCATACCTATTGACTATACCTATGCTCCTTGACATGTGCCCTGTAGAAAGATATGCTTAGGTATATCAGGATCATATTTAAAATGCCCATAGCAGCATTGTTCATAATTTGTCAAAAAGCAGAAACAATCCTTATGTCTATCAGCATTAGAAAGGATAGATCAGTTGTAGTATATCCATATAATACAATGCAATGCAGCACTAAAATGAAGGAATTATAGCTATTTATAGTCATATAGCTTATTTTAAAGAGATATTGAATAAAATAAGCTAGATACTGAAATAAATGTATGAATTCTTTTATGTAAAGTTTCAAAACAAAAATATTACTGTATTATTTGGGATACAGACAGAAATGGCAAACTAATAGAGCAAAGGAAGGAAGTGATTATTTCAAAAGTTAAATTGATGGAAACCTTTAAGGTAGAGGAAGTATTGTGATTGGAAGGGAGCTGGCCATGTTCTGGTTCTTCACCTGGAGGTTTTTATATATGAGTGCTTCCTGAAGCTGTACATTTGCATTTTATTTATTTATGTGTTATACTTCACAATAAAAATTAAGAGGCACTGCTTGGAAAATGTTGAGACTAGAGACAGGAAGGCCAATTCAGACATTGCTGTAGTAGTCTAGGTATGGATGGAGCAGGGTGGCGGTGGTGAGAACAGGATTGCAAATGTCATTATTTTAGCTATGAGTCTGTCTATTTCTGCCCACTATAAAGGGGCATTTTGATTTTAAAACATATTTCTGTAAATGTCAGTGCCTTAAAGGATGGTCTATTTGTAAATTGAGCTCATTTATTTAGGATTCCCTTGTTAATGTCAATTGAGAGAGGTATTGGCTTTGCCTATCAGCAGGTAAATTCTAAGAAGACATTTCAAAGCTCGTCAGAGTACAAGGCTTTCTCAGGTGTTAATAAACTGGACAATTATAAACATAAAGGCGTGATTTGTTTCTGCTATTAAAGACAGTCACAAAAATGCCTGCCAGGGAGGCAAAGGGAGCCAGGTGAATTCCTTGCTTCTCTCATCACCCTGAGCTAAGTGATCCAAGAACATTATCTCTACTATCAGCATCTCAAGTCATGTGCCTGCGAATGTTAGATGCTCAGGGTTAGAGGTTGATTAGAAAGATAAAAGACTCTTAGTTTGTTGTGTTGTTGTATACATGGTCTATATAATATCTTACATGAACAATTGGTTTGTACTTTTTTTTTTTTCAGATTCTCTTCCTCTATTAATATTAGCCTCTGGGAAATCCAAAAACCAATTTGTGTCCAAAATATAGAGTACTTTGCAGTATGTCTTTCATATATTAAAATTATCTGTGGCTTCTTCTTTTCTATTTATTCCAGTTTCTGTTTTTTAAAAAGTTAATAGGCTTTACTTTTTTTCAGAACAGTCTTAGATTTATGGAAAAATTGAGCAGCAAGTACAGAGTTCCCACATACTCCCTTCCCTCCCAGAGTTTCCCCTATTATTAACACCTTGCACCTGTGTGATAACTTTGTGTTAGTTGGGGAGCCAATATTGACATATTATTAACTAAAGTTCATAGTTTATACCTGACATGGTTTGGCTCTGTGTCCTCACCCAAATCTCATCTAAAATTGTAATCCCTGCATGTCAGCAGAGGGGCCTGGTGAAAGGTGATTAGATCATGAGGGTGGGTTTCTGCTTTCCTTTTTTGTGGTAGTGAGTGAGTTCTCACAAGATTTGATGGTTGAAAAGTGTGGCACTTGCCCATTTGCTCTCCTCCTACCATAGAAGACGTGTGTTGCTTCCCTTTTGCCTTCTGCCATGATTGTAAGTTTCCTGAGGCCTTCCTGGCCATGCAGAACTGTGAGTCAATTAAACCACTGTCTTCTCTTTATAAATTAACCAGTCTCAGATAGTTCTTTATAGCAGTGTGAAAACAGACTAATACAATACCAACAGTTCAATTTTGGGGTTTTGACAAATGTAAAATTACATATATTCACCATTACAATATCATACAGAACAGTATCACTACCTAAAATCTCCTATGTTCCACTTATTCAATGATTAATAATGTTGGGCATCTCTTCATAGGCTTATTTACTAACTGTATGTCTTCTTTCTTGAGGTATCTGTTCAGAATTTTTGCCTATTTTTAAGTTGGATTGTTTCCTTATTATTGAGTTTTAAGAATTCATTGTATATTTTGGTTCTTTATCAAATATATGTCTTGCAAATATTTCCTCCCAATCTGTGGCTTGTCTTTTTATTCCCTTTACAATGTCTTTTCACATAGATCAATGGAATAGCATAGAGGACCTAGAAATAAAGCTGCACACTTAACCAACTGATCTTTGACAAAGTTAAGACAAATAAGCAATGGAGAAAGGGTACCTTATGCAATACGTTGTGCCGGGA